CTGCTTGTACCTTTGATCTATTGCATATGGATATTTGGGGTCCATATAAGATACCCACTCATGGAAATGCAAGATATTTCTTAACCATTGTGGATGATCATTCTAGGATAACTTGGCTTTTCCTCATGCAATTCAAATATGATGTTTTTCAAACCTTTAAACATTTTTTGTCCATGGCACAAAATCAATTTGACAAGACTCCTTAGTGTATCCGGACTGATAATGGATTAGAATTCTTTAATAAAAATTATTTTGAATTGTTGCATGACAAAGGTATAGAACACCCAAGTACTTGTGCATATTCCCCTCAACAAAGTGGTATTGTTGAGAGGAAGCATAGACATATATTGGAAGTAGCCAGAGCCTTGAAATTTCATTCACATGTTCCAGATAATTTTTGAGGGTATAGTGTAAAGATAGCAGTCAACGTTATAAATAGGTTACCTACTAAAGTTCTTCAAGGGCAATCACCATATGAAAAAATTTTCCATAAAAAACCTAACCTTGATCACTTGAAAGTTTTTTACTCCCTTGCTTATGCTACTGCCTTGTCTCCTAAGGACAAGTTCTCTCCAAGGTCCACTCCATGTGTTTTCTTAGGCTACTCACCTACCCAAAAAGGTTATTATTTGTATGATTTAAAAACACATTTTGTTCAAGTTAGCCGAGATGTGGTCTTTTATGAAATAATTTTTCCATTTGCTTTGTCAAAATCATCACAACCTATGTTTTTATCAGAACCATTCCTAGAATTAGATTTTGTTTCACATTCCTCATCTGTCATAGATCAGTCTACTTTACCTAGAGATGTTTCATCTGTTCAGACAACAGAACCAGCCTTTATTATCCCTTTCCTTGATTCTTCCCCTCCAGAATCCACTCAACTTGATTCCTTACAATCATCACAGGTTGCTCCTCAATTTTCTTCCACAGAATCATCACATATAAACCTTTCCATTAGAAAATCTACTAGGATATCAAAACCTCCTATCTAGACAACAGATTTTATTTGTCCCACATTATCCAAAACAAATTTAGTTACTCATGTCAAGTATTCTATTAATACTTTTTTATCCTATTCCCATCTTTCACCTACCTATCAAGCTTACTTATCTTAGTTTTCCTCACTCACTAAAACCTTCCACTTTCAATCAAGCCTCAAAAGATCCTAATTGGGTAGATGCCATGCAAAAGGAGATTCAAGCCTTAGAGCATAATGTTACTTGGTCTTTAGTTCCTTTACCTCCTGGCAAGACCCCTATAGGGTGTAAATGGGTGTATAAACTCAAATACAAATCTGATGGCACTTTAGAAGGGTATAAAGTTGGGCTAGTGGCCAAGGGATACACTCAACAAGCAGGGGTGGATTATGATGAAACTTTTCTCCTGTGGTTAAAATGGTTACTATTCGGATTGTTCTAGCTTTAGCTTCAATGTATGACTGGCCTTTGTTTCAAATGGATGTGGATAATGCTTTCTTGTAAGGACATTTACAAGATGAAATTTACATGAAATTGCTACAAGGGTTTTCTCAACCAGGTAAGCAACATTTGGTTTGCAAACTTTATAAATCACTTTATGGTTTAAGGCAAGCCTCTCAAGCTTGGAATTACAAGCTTACTTCAGCCTTGGTTTCTGGTGGTTTTAGTCAATCTCACTTAGATCATTCTCTGTTTATTAAGAGAGATCATTCCAAGCTTATTATTTTGCTTGTCTATGTTGATGATATCGTTATCACTAGTAATGATATGTCACTTATCTCTAATACTAAGTCTCTACTGCATACACATTTCAAAATCAAAGACCTAGGGTCTTTAAAATATTTCTTGGGGTTTGAGGTGGCTCGATCACATAGAGGTATCACTCTTTGTCAGAGAAAATATGCAATTGAGTTGATTGCATCTTCAGGGTTATCTGGATCCAAGCCTACCCTTGTTCCCCTAGATCAAAATATGAAATTCACTTCTGCACAATATGATAGGTTGTTTAATCTCTCAAATGATACTCTCTTATCTAATCCTACTACTTATCAAAGGCTTGTAGGTAAGCTTCTTTATCTTTGTCAAACTCGGCCAGACATTAGTTACTCATTAAATCTTCTCAACCAATTCATGTAGTCTCCTAAGAACTCTCATATGGTTTCTGCCTTGAAAATTGTTAGATATATCAAGCAAGCTCCTGGTCTTGGTTTGTATTTTCCTTCTCATAATTCTCCCTAGTTGGCAGCTTATAGTGATTATGACTGGGCGTCATGTCTTATGACTAGAAAATCCATAACAGGATATTGTGTTTTACTTGGCAATTCTTTGTTATCCTAGAAATCAAAAAGACAAGCAACCATGTCTAAATCTTCTTCAGAGGCTGAGTATAGGCCCATGGCCTCCACTGTTTGTGAAGTAACCTAGATTGTGCAAATTCTTTCTGAGCTTGGCTTTAAGGATTTGGCTCCTATTAGTTTATTTTGTGACAATCAATCTGCTCTTCACATAGCTTCTAATCCTATGTTTCATGAGCAGACAAAACATGTTGATATTGATTGTCATATTGTTCGCACTAGCCTCAGGAATGGTTTAATCAAAACAGCTCATGTTTCTACACAAGACCAGCCTACTGACATCTTTACTAAAGCTTTTGGCAGTAAAGCTCAATCTCATTTGCTTGGCAAGTTGGGTGTTCTTAGATATTTTTCACCCTCCAACTTGAGGGGGGGTATTAGAGTAGTTTACTGCTGTTAGTCAACTTAGTTTACTGTTGATTGTTAGTATAGTTACAAGTTAGTTGAGTGTTGGCTGCATCTAGTTGTGTAACTATAGTTAATAAATTCAGTAACTATGATTAGTAAACGTTGGTTAATACTGTACCCAACCTGAAGGCGAGAGAAGATTCTAACAAGACCAGTACAACCATGGTAAAAAATTTGTATTCTTAGCCCAACAAATTGAATATATTAGGAAAGGTTTCAATGATTTGTACAGCTATAAGTACAAGCACGAAAAAACATTTGAGACACTCTTAAACCATGTATTTTATACCAAACACCTTGGTGAGCTTCAAATACAAAATATTTCTCACCTCATTTAGGTTTGTTTAGTGCTATTTTATTTTACCTTTTCATGCTTTACTGCTAATTTTTTTTTTTTATTATTATTATTTTTTTTTTTTTTTTTTTTTTTTTTTTTGTATTTTTTAGGTTTTGAAATAAATAAGGATAAAAAGGGAAATTTTGAAGCAAAGGAGAGAGGGATGTAAATTCTTAAAATTTAGAGGCCAAGCAAGGGTTTTTCTTGAATATCAGAGCATCTTTGGGTATTTTGGAGACAACTGTGAGCTACAGATATCGGAATCTCTTGGTTATTGCAGCGTTGAAAACTAATTGAGAGAGCTAAAATTCTTATGTTTATGACTTGGCCCAAGTCACCGAAACCGGGAGAAAATCATGACACAACAGTATGGAAAAATCAAATCTAAAAAACAGGAGATTGGTAAGGAATTCATGGAGTAGCCGTCTTCATAGTTTTTTCTTACTTCTTTCCTTTTTTTTTAAGTCAATGTTTTGTCATTTGAAATTATGCTTTTCCTTTGTTCAAGTATGACTAATTTCTTTTGCTAGGATTTGATGTAGCCTCTCCTTGACATTTGAATCCTAAATTATATTATTGAAGTTTTTATCAATCTTTGTTGAGCATGTCATCACTGTACTTAATGCTTTTGAATGATTGATCACCATCTGAATGTTTTGTTTTGCATGTTGAGAATAATGCTACAAATTGTTTCTTGTGATGTGTGCCATGAATTGAATGAAAGACAGAGATGTGTCTGTGATTTGTGTGGTTTTTTGAAATACTATAGAACTTAATGTGCTCATATGATTTTAGATTCACATAGAGATATCGTAGGTTATTATGAGTAATTTCGGTTCTACTTGAAGAGGCTTCAAATAGGTTGAGTATTTTGCTATTACCATTGGATGATAAAATTTCAGTAATATGTTTTTAGGATTTAGGTGAATTGGTTAGGTCAAATTGAATGCCTTAGCTTTTTTGTCCATTGAGATTCAGCTTGTTAATTGCATTCTTTAATTGATTTTAACTTTTGACTATAAAATTCGTAATATTATTTCAATTTCGTTGTTTTCAATAATTTAAAACTAGACAATTTTGGCTTAATTGATTATTTTGATCTATAAATCTAAATTTCAATTTTCTTGTTCAAATATTTAAAACTAGAACAATTTGGTATTTAACAGGTAAACAATCTTCGTGAGAACGACAGTCTACTCATTTAATTATATTACTTGAGCGATTAGTACATTTGTTATATTTTTCACAACACACCCTGTGGCTGGACCATGACACCAAAGAATCAATTTGCTGTTGCAATAAGCTTGGTCTTGGTAATGCTAGACCACGCTAATTAAATCCTCAATCTTGGTACTTAGGATTTGTCAGACCACAATAAATATGTTATTTTTGTTTTTCTTTCTTTATCTCTTTTAACTTTATTGTAAACTAGGTTAACTGTATTTGCTCACCTAAGAGATTGTTAAGTCGCAAGTGTCCACAATGTCGAAAACTATAAAAACCTCCTGAAATTACCAAAACCCCTAAAAACTATTATTCTTTCACATTATTGATCACATCATTAGAGCCCTTTGAGACTAGGCAATTAACCCGTGAAAACTATTATTCTTTCACATTATTGATCACATCATTCAATTGCTCACACCACTAAAAGTTGTTTAATTACAGACCACCTGAACCCAATTGACCCACCGTCTTGGGTTGTATACCTTCAGTACACGAGTTTTTGTGTTTCCACTGTTATGGTTGATGTCAAAGCTTTATACCACATGATGGAGCAGTATCATATCAGTAAGTATTATCACTTTAAGTTGTACCCTTCTTCCAAACAAAAAATGGAAATAAGAAAATCAAGGCTACATGAACAATTATCGGCCTAAGACCATACAGACATGGTTTCATGCACACACATCCTAAACGGTTGGAGATACCTTGAATTACTTTGTTGTCATCATCTGCTAAGCTGAATTAGAGTTTCCGTGCTTATAACCTACATCTCGAGATGACCGACAATGGAAGTAGATGAATGGATTAAAATCTAGAGAAGATGTTAGCCCACACAAACTGAAAATGACTTTTTTTGTTGATGATGTTGTTACTGTCTTACTGAGAATCTAGTAAGGAGATAATTCACGGTTATGGGCCTCTGCACAACATTGAAATGTCTAAATATTTTACTTTTTGAGAAGATGGAATTGTAGATCTAACTATGCATTGAAAAATTCAAGAAAAATGCCCTCTTTCTACTAGTCTAACTAAAAAGAGAATAAGAGATAATGATATTTAATAAGGATACAAAAGCATCAAGTAGCACACAGCCTCCTGCATCTACAAGCCATGGTAGATTTGGTCTGATTTTTGACCAATCCAAGCTGCTAACAATTATGCTACAAAAGAAAACACATATATGCCTGTTAGAAGATCTGAGTAAGAAATCAGGCCCTGACATTGGGGTTCCAGCACAAAATATGAAAAAGTGAACATGATGAGTGGACAACAATAGAAAGACCCATGAGGATGAGAATGATAGATGGGACATATTCACCTTGCTACATATGTTGCATTACCAATCAAAGCAAAGAGAAACATTAGAGGATTAAGGCCCTGCAACATCATCCATGAAATAAAATCATGATCTTATTGAATTGTCTCACACACAAACACCAATTTTCTTTTCTTTGTACCACAGGATCAAGCAATCCCTTTCTCAAAAGAAAACAAAAGAAAAAAAAAAAAAAAAAAAAAAAGCCAAATTCCATTCCAAACGAACTTTACATTTATATATACAACTGAATTTACTGAAAAAAAAATAATTTCAAACCTATACTTTCTTACCTCCACATTCCCCCTTCTCATCTGCAAATAATAGAACAAGATACAAGAACCAAAAGTTTCAGAAAGACGATAATGAAAACTGGTTAACGGGATATATAAATAAAAGAACAATTTGTCAGATTGAGAAAAGATGACGATAGACTACTACATCCATGCTTCAAAGAAATACCATAAAAAACAGTTTTGCTGGCATATAGATGGTTTATTTATACCAGCTCATATGTCTTTCCAATACCATACAATTTCTATTGGAAAAAAGCAGACACATGCAAACATCATCTATATATTCATACGAAACATGAAAACCGATGGATACTTATTTCTGCAGATCAGGAAAACCTTACTACAGTAAATACTACCATAAGTCAGTTAAAAAGTAAAGCTTACATTCAAACAAATTTGGGGAAGCCGTCCACCCATATAAATTGCTGCCATTGCCCAACCAAGGTAACTTCCAATTCCACTGCTTCCTTCAATACCATTTCCTTGTAATAGCCCACCATGTACCTGAAACTCAAATCGCATACAAGATAAAAAGGAAATAATAAAAAATAAAAAAACAAACCAGCAGGAAAAAACTAGAGTGAATCTTAAAGGAAAATGGCAAGGAAAATGAAGCCAGTGATCATTCAGCAACTCTGGTTTTCCCCTTCAACGTACGTTAACTCTATTTCTTTTCTAATAAATAAATAAATGATTTCCCTTTCTTTTTTTCTTTTTTTTTGGGTTTCGTCTTTCCCATGTTTATTTTTTGTCTTTCAACTAGAAACGAACACAAAATTTATTAATGATCAACCAGCTATGGCTGAAACTGACTTGCCAATTTAAAGTTCCAACGTATAGCCATTAATGGACATGCTGTAGCCAACAATGAAATGATCTAACCAGATCCATACACTCTAAACCTAATCTGCTAGTGCCATACAAAGAAAACAAGATAGTAGCTTGAATTACCTGCAACAGCTTTCTCCCAACTTGAATCACAAATCCTTTATTTGATTTCTCAAACTCAATGTTATGATAACCGATAGCTAAGTATTCAAGATTAACAGTTCTAAGAAATATCATTATTGAGACCTGAAATAGAAATATGGAATCAAAAAAATTATGTCCCATAAAACTGTTTGTTGATTCCATCAATTATTGTAAACTTAAAGAGTGGCTGCATAATCTCACCAAGCATAGCATGGTTTTGGTGTTTGGAGATGGTGCAGATTGTGTAGAAACTTGTCCACCAAGCAAGGGCTGTTCAATGGAAATCCCAGAATGATCAGAGGTGGGACTCATTCTTTGTACTAACAAAGATCCAGCCGTAGGTGTATGACTCCTTGATAGAGATCTGGCAGACCTGATGAATTTACAAAGAAAAAGTTTTACATTATTATCACAAACATCATTAACCATTATGAAATATTTTTTTAATCAGTGTTCTAGAAATATAAAGTTCCTTTTGGTTGGAAATCCATTCAATAGAAAGCGAAAGCCCTCATCAAAAGTGCAGTTGATATTCAAATTTTACCCAAATATGATGCCCTTGCAGGGAAAAATAAGCATCAAATTCGCCTAAATGACAGCAAAGGTAAACATAAAATTTCCAGTGACCCAATCATATGCACAAAAAAGAGATAAGTTCCTTCTTAAAAAATAAGAAAGCATGAGAAAACTCAGTTTTGAAATTTCCATCTTCAAGTGTCTCTTGCATCCAACTCAGAATTTCTTTAGAAGTACCAAGATGCTTTTAACTACACCCAGAGGAGTACTCACGGAGCAAAATATGCAAAGAAAATGAGGCATAGAGATTTGTGCATCTAATAAGAGAACTATAAAATGTTTAATTAATGGAAAACAGATTCACAGGGAGAGAGAGAGAGAATGAGAAAGATTGTCAGTCTTCTGACTGTCGAACAAAGAGAGGAGAATATCTTAAGTCAGATGATCCCAGTGTTCTCGGTAGCAACGTTTGCAATCATAGGTTCATACATTTTCCTCACAGAACTGTTGTAAGTAGTATGAAGAAGTTGAGTGCTCTGAACACCTAATTCGGAGTTGTGAAGAGCTCAAAGCTGTCAAACTGACAGAATGTTATACAAAAGACTAGTTTTTATATTAAGGAATGCTAGCAGTGTCTTTTTCAGTCTCTCTCATTCTCTCACTCTCCTTTGACACATGTACAGGAGATGAAGGAAGTGCAAGTTGGTAATATATTCTTCCTTTGTCTCTTGTACACGTCATATAGTGCAAAAGAAAGTATTTTTAGCATTTGTTTTGTATAATTCCTTCTGTTTTGAAGTCTAAGCACAATCAAGGTCAGGAATAAATAGTTTGACATTTACGAAGTTCTTAATCTGCATGACTTCTTTACAGGCAAGGAAATCTCTTACCTTGTTGNGATGGTGCAGATTGTGTAGAAACTTGTCCACCAAGCAAGGGCTGTTCAATGGAAATCCCAGAATGATCAGAGGTGGGACTCATTCTTTGTACTAACAAAGATCCAGCCGTAGGTGTATGACTCCTTGATAGAGATCTGGCAGACCTGATGAATTTACAAAGAAAAAGTACTACATTATTATCACAAAAATCATTAACCATTATGAAATATTTTTTTAATCAGTGTTCTAGAAATATAAAGTTCCTTTTGGTTGGAAATCCATTCAATAGAAGGCGAAAGCCCTCATCAAAAGTGCAGTTGATATTCAAATTTTACCAAAATATTATGCCCTTGCAGGGAAAAATAAGCATCAAATTCGCCTAAATGACAGCAAAGGTAAACATAAAATTTCCAGTGACCCAATTATATGCACAAAAAAGAGATAAGTTCCTTCTTAAAAAATAAGAAAGCATGAGAAAAGTCAGTTTTGAAATTTCCATCTTCAAGTGTCTCTTGCATCTAACTCAGAATTTCTTTAGAAGTACCAAGATGCTTTTAACTACACCCAGAGGAGTACTCACGGAGGAAAATATGCAAAGAAAATGAGGCATAGAGATTTGTGCATCTAATAAGAGAACTATAATATGTTTAATTAATGGAAAACAGATTCAGAGAGAGAGAGAGAGTATGAGAAAGATTGTCAGTCTTCTGACTGTCGAACAAAGAGAGGAGAATATCTTAAGTCAGATGATCCCAGTGTTCTCGGTAGCAACGTTTGCAATCATAGGTTCATACATATTCCTCACAGAACTGTTGTAAGTAGTATGAAGAAGTTGAGTGCTCTGAACACCTAATTCGGAGTTATGAAGAGCTCAAAGCTGTCAAACTGACAGAATGTTATACAAAAGACTAGTTTTTATATTGAGGAATGCTTGCAGTCTCTTTTTCAGTCTCCCTCATTCTCTCACTCTCCTTTGACACATGTACAGGAGATGAAGGAAGTGCAAGTTGGTAATATATTCTTCCTTTGTCTCTTGTACACGTCATATAGTGCAAAAGAAAGTATTTTTAGCATTTGTTTTGTATAATTCCTTCTGTTTTGAAGTCTAAGTACAATCAAGGTCAGGAATAAATAGTTTGACATTTACAAAGTTCTTAATCTGCATAACTTCTTTACAGGCAAGGAAATCTCTTACCTTGTTGGAGAAAATAAAATTCAAACTTTTAGAGAGCCTAAGTATTTCAACATCAACAACACAAAACACACACACACACACACACACAAAGTGTGTTTGATGCTGATAATCAGATACTAGAGCACAATGATGTCTACTGAAGAAATCAAGGTAGAATTTTAATTACATGTAGTATAGTTCTCTTCGAGGAGACATAGTTCCAGGAAGTGCTGGAAGAGGAATAGGTGAACTCGGAGCATTATCTCTGTCTGAAATGCACAACCCGCTTTTCCGTTTGTCAGAACAGTTTACTTGTTTTCCAACATCATTATTGCTTTGTCCAGTCTTATCTGCTGATTCAGTTTGGATAGGCTTGAATCCCTAAAATACAAAGCATTTAAAGTATAGTCATGCAGTCAATCACACCCATTAAGTCTAGAATGCTTCAACTTTAATAGCGCTTACTATGCTCTGAAAAAATACCCGAGAAAGTAGAAACATAACAAAGATAAACATCGTAAAACCACTGCAAACAGAGAAGGAACAAGAAAATATAATTATCTAAAACTCACTCTGTAATAAGGTGAAAACATTTGATATTTTCTACAAGCACCTATCAGTCAAGCAAAGCTAAGTTAGACTTGTTCTACAGACACAAGGACTTACAAAATTGATAGGCCCAAAGAAACTTGTTCCTCAAATTCACCGAAACTTAAGACTAACAATTTTCACCAAATAAAAGTTTCAACAATTCCAATCCTATAGTTGATCTAATCCAAGATGATTAAAAATGGAATTATGTTGATATTCGAAGTTCTTCATTACTAACTAATCTACAACAGTACTCTAATTGCATTAATAGTTAACATTAATACACACGAAAATTTATTGCTTTAATGCTTTATCGTTTGGGTGCATAGAGTTATTGATCCCCTAAATTAAGACCTACTAAGTAATCAACTGTGCTGGGCTTGAATCTAGGAGAAAGCAAGTTTCTATAATCCACACCTATAGTTTTCTGTCATTTCATGTCTATGAAAAAATTATTGAATTCAATAGAATTATTGAGCATGCTACTAAGTAACAAAAACAGCAAAAAGGTGTTCTTCCATGATAAAAACAGAATTCACATTAGAACATTACAGTTAGTTTCCAGTGTGTTCTTAGTTATTGATATGAACTCTTCTTTCACAATTTAAGATATGTCAATTTCTGACTGTTAGAAGTTGAATTTATCCCACATTGTCCTAATAGTAGACTGTTATGGTGTATATAAGTTATTGGGCTCCCTCCTCCCTTGAGCTAGCTTTTGGGAGTGAGTTCTATCTTATCATGGTATCAAAGTCACGTTTGTTTCTCTCTCCTCTTTGGTTGGAGCGATGATGGGTTTGGACCCCGGCCTTGCACGCCGAGCGTAAAGGGGGTGTTAATTTGTCTCACATCGCCTTAATAGTGGACTATTATGGTGTATATAAGTGATTGNTCATGTCTATGAAAAAATTATTGAATTCAATAGAATTATTGAGCATGCTACTAAGTAACAAAAACAGCAAAAAGGTGTTCTTCCATGATAAAAACAGAATTCACATTAAAACATTACAGTTAGTTTCCAGTGTGTTCTTAGTTATTGATATGAACTCTTCTTTCACAATTTAAGATATGTCAATTTCCGACAGAGCAAGATTCCAACTACGTTTGTTTAAATTCAGTTGTACTATAAACGAAAGCCACATAGATCTAATCTTTTACAACCTTCGACTCAAAACTTGGCTCATAACTACAACATGTTTTCTCTCGTGCAATTCACTTTTTACAATAAGATGCTTTCTGTTTTGTCTCCGTGAGTTTTACCCAGTATCAAAGTGTAGTAATTTAACTTCTTCATTGTAATTTGTAATTCGATCTTAAAATTAAAAAATAAAACTTTCACATTTCTCATAAATCACCATAAGAAAATTTGAGCATGCAAATTCTTACCTTGTGCAGACATCCATTGTCTTTTAGTCGAGGATAAATGTGACCATAGTATACGGTTTGTGAACCAAGAATCACAGTAATTAATGTATACAGCTGCACATGAAGGACAAGAGATCAGCTGAAACTAAAATAGAATTCATAAAAATTCATAAAAATTCATGCTTGAGCACAGATCCTTACCAGTGCCATATAGTACTGGGTTGGAAGCTGCAAAGCAAGCGAAAAAGCTCAGTGACAGAGCACAACAGAATTTACAATGAAAAAATAATAAAAAATAAAAAAGCGCTAACCACTTCTACTTCTCCTACGGTCACTTGGGCAGCCAGAGAATTTTTTATCTTTCCATCTTTGACAATAATTTAGACATTATGAACTTCAAAAAAAGAAAAGTCTAAGAACTTACAATACACATTCAACTTGCTGCTTATATGTTTCATATGGGAAAGAGATTGAGCTTCATGGTATACTAAATGATCTAAAAATTACCCAAATGCATAACTCCCAAAAATCATGGTTACACTCGAAAGCTAATGATCCTATCAATCTAACACTAATCAAGAATTTTTTATTTTTTATTTTTTTATTTTTTTATTTTTTTGATAATCCAGAAATCTACTGCACTTGCGGTGCAAGTGGCGAATCGAAACTGCTGCCCCCAACAAACCCTGCCATAGCTGGGGAGCGTTTAAATATAGCTTTGTTGGCCCATAAGGAGATACTCACAGATATCAAACAGAAACGAAAGAAAAAAAGTTTCACATAATGTCTTACATCATAAACTGATCTTATAATTTTTCTAGATCGCCAAGACATAAAAAAACAAAAAAGAATGTCTCGCACCATGAATAAAACTAATTAAACAAATTACCGTAGCTGGTTCCAGAATGCAGCCAAAAAGATTGAAAAGATCCCTGTAAAAAACAGTTATCATTACAAGTTTTTTTTTCTTGATTTAGTAATTTAAATATACAAAATCAAAATGATAATTAACCAAAAGTTATGAGTGAAAAACTACCCACCCAATAATCCAAGTGGTTAAGAAAGCAATAGAGAGGCCATCGGTGGATTTCTGCCGGTAATTTGTAATGATTTGAGGAATTTCAGCAACAACCCAAACGACTACACTTATGGCGCCCAAACCTAACGAAATTTCATCTCTGCTATTGCAAAGACAATAATCCAAGTATTTTCTTGCCCATTCACGACAATGCAGAGTTCTGGGACAAAACACCTCTGAGTTTTTGTAAACTCCCATCATTCAATGCAAAGAGAAAACAGAAAAATTTTCTTGTAATATATATATATATTGTTCTGTCGACCTCTTTCAGAAGGTGAAGCGGGGCGTGAAGTTGCCACGCCTACAGTACACTATATTACAAGGTACACGTTCCCTTTGAATTGGCTACAGTGTTGGAATTGGCTACAGTGTTGGAATTGTGCTGCGTCGTAAATTCCAATTTAATTAATTTCAAAATCTTATTTGGCATCTCAGCTTAGCAGTGGCGTCATCCTGATTTAGCCCAATCACGTCCGACGCCTAGCGTTTCATTTTTAAAGTGCGGCCCAAAAATGGTTTAGATTTAGAGCATATTTATTGGGCTTCTTTATTGGTTAAAATAGTTTTTTTTTTTTTTTTTTGTTTAAGAGTAAACGGCATTTATCCACCCAAGGTTTGGAGAATCTATATTTCCACCCATGGTTTCACAAATTCCATATTTTAACCCTTAAATTAACACTGTTAATGAATTTTGATTTCTGATACAGTTGTAGAGGGTGCTATTACCATAATACTCTTTTTTATTACACTGCCACCCAGCCACCATCATTATCACCATCCAGTCATCACCACCACCCACCAACACCATCTTTCAACACCATCACGACCGAAGCCCCAAAGTAACCACCCACTACCATTCCACCCATCCACCACAATCGCAATCCCTCTAAACCCCAAAGTCAGCCCCACTGCCACCAAACAACCACCACCAAATCACTCACAAACTTAGCCACAAACCCACTAAAAAACAACCACAAATCGAGCCCAACACCACCAACCACTTGTCTCTTATAAACATCATTTATATATGAATAAAAGGCATTGCTTATTTACAAGCATCTATACTATAGCATATATTTATTGCATATAAAGAAAGTAGTATATGTCCTTAGAAATGTTGAAACCTGTAACAAGGGAATTAAGTGTTATAAATCTTAATTGTTGGAACCATATGAGCACATATGGTGGCCATTCTAAAACTGTTCGTACTCATAATATAAATCTAACCTAGGACATGGATTATACGGAAAGACTATCATCACGTTGAATGACCCAACTGAAAGGTAGTGACAAATCTCACATGTCAAGGTTATAAGCATCAACCTGGTGCAACACATGGGTGTTTGCTTGTGCAAATTCACTGGACTGACCCATCAGAGGATTCCATATAAGATGGTAAATCCAGTGTCTATGGAATATATCTTCTTACAGATGGTAGTGCATGCAGTCCTTCAACTTGAGATCACCAGAATGCCATGTGTAAATATCGATGTGATTTGACACTAGCCTAATGGCGTCTCTCTTAGAGATCACTCAAACGGTGGTAATTGGTTGTATTGAGAAGTACACTATGACTATGGTGGATCAACAAAGGATTCATCACTCATAGTCACAAGACATCTTATCTGGCGAGATATTTGGTTAAAAACTACGACCACAAATCTGTGGCTACAGTGGAATCGAGTACATGCTCAATATGATTTTATATAGTTGTAGATTCGACAACAAAATATAAACATGTCAAGGTCAATACTTTGAAGTAGACATTATTTCTGTACTTCAAACCTTGTTGAGATATAAGATGATGAATGAATTGAATTGCACGATAACCATACTGTAGAAAAGGTAAGCATAATTACTGATTCTTTATTTGTTGGGTAATCATGATGCCTTAGTAAAGGCCAATCTTGATTGGTGTACGAAACACTAATTGGTTGATGCTTAATTAGGTATTGGGACACTGCCAACAAAATAAAGAGCCTTCAAGTCAGACACATAAAAAGTAGTTAAGAGAGAGAAAACAGATTGGAAGGGCATTTTCATCCTTTGGGCCAAAAAAGGGTATTTCCGTAATTTGGGAAGAAAAAGGTATTTTCGTCCTTTTGGGCAAAAAGATTATTTGGGTAATTTTGCTAGGGTTGACACCAATATTCAATATTTATATTGAAGGAATTTTAGCAAAATTGGAATCATATTAATATATATTAATATGGAGAATATATTTAATTTAATTAAATATATTAAAACCCATTAATTAAATATGTATATATAAATATATATGGATTAAATAAATAGTAATATTTATTTAATTAGGAATATGTATTTATATAGGAATTAAATAAATAGGAATATTTATTTAATTTGGAAACATATTTAATGGGAGAATATCTTTTAGAGATATTCCAATTCCTTTTAGAGTTGCAATCCAAATTAAAAAGGAATTTGGAGATTCACAATCCTAGTTAAATTCTTACTATGGATTGCACTATAAAAAGGGGACTTGGCTTTGATTTTTAAAGAAGTTGATTTTACAACTTTGGAGAGAAAAGTTTTAGTTTAATTTTTAAACTAAACCTCCCAAACACAAAACCCTAGCTACAACCGTAGAGAGAATTTTCTCTCAAATCTGCCACTCCTCTTAAGCTCTTGGTTAGATCTAGCAATGAATCCAAGAGTGATCCCAACCTACTTTTGTGTGGATACCATCGTGCTCGATCCTACTTTGGGTCAATAGCGATACCTAGGAGACATCCAGAGAAGGAGCCGTCAACGAATGTATAAAATCTAACCTTGTATGGTTTAATTATATTGAGGTTATAGTTATCGAATAGTGATCTTGGGTTACCGGACTCTATCATAGCAATTTTTTTTGTAATTTCGCACTTGTTGCGATAGAAATCCCTTACAAGTGGTATCAGAGAATCAGTTCGATAACTATGACTCGTGTATGTTGGTGTGTGCTAGTATGCATAGATTAGGGTTTGATTTGATTATTTTAAACCTGCTGTAATTTTATTTAATTTTGTTGAATGAGTTGTTGTAAATTGGTTAGAAATTAGGGTTCCAAAACCCTAAAAATCTGGTGGCTAAATTGGAGGGTTGTGATGCGTGCTACCTTTGGTCGTGCATTAATGCATGCCTGGCCATAGCATAATGCACGCGCTTTATTGCACGCAGCCCTGTCCAGATTCTTGGTCCAAACGCATGTCCAAGGTGCCTATCCTAAGCGTTTGGCATCTGCCGCATACACAAGCGCGCGACTATGTTGCACACTGAGCGAGTACGCGACTGTTCTTTCTCTGTTGCATGTGGTAGTGTGCGGCACTGCCACATGTTGCATGTGCGAGCGTGCTGCACTATCCTACTAGCGCAGGCGCAACCGCCCGAAAATTTTTGGGCTTCACATTATGTGTGCAAGCCTAGTAGGAGTGGTCTGTTTTTCAGGCTATTGGTAATCATCGCTACCAATGTCCCATCAAGGAGAGAATCCTGCGAGCTTTCGTGTGGAAATTGGATGGTGAAAGGGACTTTCCCGTTGTTGCAGGGTAAGGGCATTTTAGGGATTTAAAATTGGCATTTTGAACTTTTTCACCAAGCCATTAGAAATAGAATAAGTTGCCACTGTTTTGGACTGTTTAGTTTGTTTTCAAACTAGACAAGGACTAAACTATAAATTTTGCAAGTTTAGGGACCAATGGAACTCTGCAAAATTAAAGGGGGTAAATGTAATTTACCCAATGAGTTTAAATTTGGTAAATTTGAATATATGTTATATCTGATTGGTGTCAATAATGCATGGTGTTTGGTACTTGGCCATCGACCTTAGGATTTATTATATTTTGTGGATGTTGTAATTTTTATTAAATAGGACCTGTGTGTCCTACCTTTCTCCAAAATCTCAATGTAATTCTCTTCTCATCTAAATCCCCTTGAATGTAGCTCAAGGTTTATTTATATTCAATGTAAAGTAGAATAGGTGTTGAAGACGAGGCAAAGGCATGAAGACATCTCGAAGATTTTATATCTTTGTAATAGAATGTATGAACCTAGGGTGACCTACCAAATTCCTCAAAGCTCGAGGAAATTGGTTTTAGATTGCCCATGTACGAACATGGTTTTTGTCTTATTGTAAAAGCATGCTAAGGTTGAAAGCCAAGACTATAACATGTGAAATAAGATAAAATTGGTGAGATTAATTAAAGCAAAATCCATCAAGTTATTATCAAATCCATAAATTGTAGGAGAGTATTAAACCATCACCTGAATGACCAAGCCAGAGTAGCCGCAGGAGCCAGGAGCTAGGTGCCAATGCTTTAAAAGTTTAAAACCTGTCAAAAAATTGCAAACTGTCAAAAGAAATAGAAAAGTGATGGATTGACAAAAGAAGATGATTACCAGCAGTGAATGATGAGAATCCAAGCCCATCATGTTCTTTAAGCATGTAAGAGAGTTCATTGAAGATTCAAGGACCCCAAGATGGACAACATTCGGCCCAAGCACTCAAGGAAGCTCACAAACTTGTCCAAGACATGGCACAAGCCCTTTTTTGTAGCGCAAGCCGTGGAGATCAAGTAGGAAGAAGTTTCATTGGCCCAAGCTTGTGGATGCTATTTGGTCAAATGTTGAAGGAAAATCAAGGAAATTGTGATTAGGGACATAAATCCTTAATTTAGGGAAAGGATGTCCATAGCATTAAATGGGTATGGTTTGCACTTTTGATATTGTATTTTGGGGAATTATCCCTTAATATTTTGTTGTAATATTCATGTAATATTTGCTAGGGTAATTCCCTTGTTTTGTAAAGCCTATTTAAAGGCCACTTTATCATAATATGAAGTTAGATATTGAATATTGAATGAATAGTATTTTGCCTTGGAGAATTGGTTTCTCTTGAGTTCCTTTATCCAACTTCGCCCAAACTTGGTGGTGGATTGATCCTTCAACCTGGTGGAGTTCTTTTAGGCTTGATTGATCCATTGGTCATCTTTCTTGTAAGTTTTCCATTTGGTTACCTTTAATATCATTTTTGGGTTTGACTTGTTTTTGTTTGAGTTCCAAGTTTGTGTTGTGTTTTCAAGTGGAATGAGTTTCTGTTGATTGAGAATAGATAAAAAGTGTTGTTCTAAGTTGTCATAAGGGTTGTGTGTGCTTGTGGAGTGTTGGCCGGATTTGTGGTAGGGTTTGCAAGTGAATCCTAGCTTAGGTTGAGTTGAAATTAGTTGAAATAAGGAGACATATGAATTAGGTTGCAAGAATTCATATCAGTGAACTAAAGTAAACAGGGAGTAGAGAACAAAGGAAGCATTGACAACATTACCTGGAGAAGATGAGTTGCGGCTAATGTCGGAGAG